TACCCAGATCCAATACCATGAAGGGCTTTATAAGTTACGACTAGCACCTTGAAGCGTATCCGGAGACTGATCGGTAAGCAGAGGCCCAGCCAGGCTTACCTCATAGCCCTCGGTCTTCTTCTGGCACCACTTCAGCAGGGCGTTTCTCTTGGAGCCCCCATACTCCCTTGCCAGGGCAGACAAAGGGTCCTTCCTCTCCTCTCTGGAAAAGAAGGAACAGGCTTTGCTCAATCAAAGTCCCCCAAACATTGAGAGGTGTCACCCGTGTGCTGTGCCCTGCCTGGGTAGAAGGCCCTGGGCCCAGAGCCCCTTCCGCCACCCAGGAGCACCCTTGCCTAAGAGGTGGCAGCCAAGCTGGGTGGGTTGCTCAGCACACCGAGGCAGATTTGGGGAAATGGGGGCAGAAGCACTTTTTTTTTATATAATCATGGAATCAGTTGGAAGCATTTGATACACATACATGAGATGTAAACATAAAGAGTTTCTAAACTTTAATTCAAATTTAGAGAATCAACTGATAACGTCTCCCTGTGACTCCTGGCTACTTGAGAATGTCACCTTCACCAGTTGGGGGCGTTAAGTCCAGAGATACCTTCCACCGAGGCAACGCAAATGGGTGGAGAAGAACAGCCCACTTCCTGAAATCACCTCCTTAAAACACAGAGTGGTCCTCTCGCACACAGAGGGACCTCCCCATTCTCTGACCAAGAAGCCGAGGCGAGGCAGGAACCAGACACAGGCCGATGGGCCCTAATTCTTTTGGGAGGGCAGCTGCCCTGGAGCCCAAATACCCCCTCCCCCCGAGAGCCTTAGCCAGATGCACTGAGCTTCCAGTCCCAGGAGGCCTTCCTTGCATGTGCTGACAAGGTGGGGGAGGGGATAACGTTTGAGACAGAAATCCCACCTTTCCTAGGGCTTCTCTTTCTCAAATAACTGAGGCCTTTTCCTTTAAGAAAAAAGAAAGGAACGCATAACAGCTGCTTTCAGAACCAGAAATGAACAGACATCTGGCAGTGCTCTGGCCAAATCCAGGAGGGCCTCTCTTGTGCCAATTGCCTGGAAGTGAACAGGAGAAGCAGGTCGCTGTTTATGCCAAAATCCATTCATTTCAAACTTGGAAAGGTAAACTCCTCCGATCCAGTTTTCATGATTCACGCTGTTTTCTTTTAAAGTTAATTTTAATTTATGTAAGGCATTTATATGCCACACCACTTGAACATTGTGGTTCTAGGTAGTTTACAATAAACCAAAAGACAAGAAAGCAAAATAAACAATGGAATGAAAAGCCAATGAAAACTCAAGACAAAACTCACAAGAGGCTAGTGTTCCTTGGCCGCTTGAAGATGGGTGGACTTCAGTTCCCAGAATTCCCCTAGGAGTTGAAGTCCACACACCTTGAAGCAGCCACGGTTGAGAAGCCCTGCAACAGGCCATTATGGCTCCCCTCCAGATGGGGCTCCAGGCTTGGCAGGCCTTCCTAAGGTCAACTGAATTGGGGCTAACTGGGTATCAGGAGGGGGGGGGGGGCTATTCCAGAGGGCGGGGGACTTAACCAAAAGGCAGACATCTCAGGTCCTGTCAGATGGTCCGATTTCAAGAAGAGGCTTAGATTTGCCATCCGTTGGTGGCAGTGTGTGGAATGGTCAATACCACACCATACAATGTGGCAGTTGTTTTATTACCTTCTTCCAAGGTACTTTTCCAATTCTTAATCCAGCCTTCAGCATTGACATTTCCTACCAAGAACCAACCACATTAAGATCTGCTTATGCTTCCTGGGATCGGCCAAGGATGCTGCACCTCCTGCAGTTCCAGTTGGAGAAAGGTTGTTCTTCAGGGAACTGCTTTCTATCGCCCAATTTTTGAAGTGGCCAAGAACTACAAGCAGCCTGTTTCAGCAGCCCCTTTGCAAAATTGGATTTTTTTGTATTTCACCAGGGATGAGCAAAACTTTATATGTGGTCTAGACACAAATAAATCTGTGTGATTGGTCTTGGGCATGGCATGGACGGAGAACAGGAGCCTTCAGGCTGAAGGACAAAGAGGCAGGTGGCATGCAGGGGCTGTGGGGTGATAGGAAAAGATGGCACTGGGGAGCCTAAGGGGGGACAAGGAAAATCCCAACACCCTTGAATGGGGTTTGTGACAACTGGCCACGGCCAACGTGCCACGGCCAACTGACCGTGAGACAATTAACCACAACCAACTCCCTGCGGGACAAGAGTTACACTAATATCAAAGAAATGGTGGAATTGAATTATTAAAGAAAGGATGCAAACGGAAGGATAGAAAGAAATTTGAATGACAAAGATTAAAATAATTAAATAGAATTGTTAAATTATCCCACAGCAATGGTGAATTGACCATGACAAGTTGGCTGCAGCAAGTTGGCTGTGGTAGGTTGTCCCATTCCGCCTTGAACGCCTGCAGCTCACCCATACTCATTCTGGTATGTTGTTTTCCTTCGTCTCCCTGACTTGGCTACCAGCATCACCCATGCATTCCCATAGAGCCAACTGGATGTGCTGGGCTTCAATTCATATGTGTGATGGTGCCCAGTGGGAGGAAGGGAAAGGAAGATCCTGGGAACACTGAAAGACAGCATGACCCAGAGGCCATGCAGAGGAGAGAACCTGCTTCAGCACTGCCCTGCTTGCTGGTCAAGCCTCTCTAGGATTTTTTTTTAGCCCAAACCAGTCAAATATTCCAGGTTTTAGTGTGGCTGAACTGCAATCCACCTGTGCTGAACCTCTGAACCACAGTGCATTTCCTCTGAATGCTACAGAAATGCAGTTTCCATCTGATGCACACCTTCTATAGTCGGAGGGACTAGCTTTCTCTATGTATAAGAGTAACCACAAACTAACTGCTGATCCACAAAGAATGCAATCCTTCCAATAGGGGTCCATCAGGATCACATGTAGGAACTGTGAACATCCCTCAAAAGCAAGTTTTGCAAGTTTTCATAATACCTCACCTGACAAACCAGAGGTCTAAATAATGATTTCTGTAAATCCTCTTTCAAAATCTGCTGGCTAATCTGACTTCTAGGGCCCACTAGTTTTTTGCCTTTTTCAGAAAGGAAATGCATGGAAAATACAATGTAAGTCTTCAAATAGCGGTAAAATAATTTCAACATAAATAAAAGCATTATATTCTCCCCATCAAATGGAAAAACCTGCAACACCACTCTTCTGGTTTTTTCAACTTTCATAATTCTGCAATTCTCTCAGTATCAAAACACATCCTTCTCTTGCCTGATCATTTTTTCCTTACTTTGAAGCAGATACTATCTATTTAACAGTCACAAGCATGCTAAAATGTGATTGAAGAAATGGCAGGTATTATGTTTTATGGGGTGTGGTGTTTCCTCACTCCTACCTACCCAGTCCAGCTCAAACCCATTTCTCATTCTCATTCTGCATCCATTTTTAGTCAGTCTGTAATCCTAAAGATCTCCAATGTCTCTGCAAGGATTCCTTAGAATTACCACTGCTCTGCCAAACTTCCTCGTCTATGGGTCTGGTTGATAGACTTTTAACTAGATATCTATGGATGTAAGAATATAAACTACATGTTAGGAATATTTTAAGTCTAAACTACATCTTTCTTTAAAAAGAAAACAAAAATCAAACCATCCGTAACACTGCAAAAGAACAGTACAGCTTGTTTCTAAATTCCAGAGAGGAACACATTTTATGTCAAGTTCTTTGTTTTGAAAATAATGTTTCAGGAAACAAATAAAATGAACTGTGTGCACACAATGAGAAGTGGTTTACAACAAATATTAATCTTATAAATGAGTCTGACTGTTAGGTCAGCTACATTCCAAGCCCAAACCAGTTTAACTGTTTTTTATGCTGGCATTCTAGACCTTGACTAGCATATTGTTTAGCCATACTTTTTTCATTTCTTAGGATAACCTTATTTTAATACTTAGATATCTAATAAATTATTTAACATCCATACTAACATATTAAATAAACATACAGAAATAGCTTAATAACCTATCCTTTCATCTGATGGCACTAAGAATTGACATTTGGTTAGCTCAAAATAAAATATCTATTCTTTACAATGCAATTGTCAACCTGCGGTGCTTTACTACAAGCTGGAGAAAGCTGGTTTGATTCAAAGTAACATCAATACAAGTTGAAGGTTATGATTTTATGGGGTTATATTTTATATTTTGATATTGTTAGCTACCTACAGCCTTGGGGAATGGGCAGCTTATAAGCAAAACAAACAAACATTTAAGCATTTTAGCAGACTAACCACAATTTAGCAGACAAACCACCATTTGGTAGCATCTACCAAAAACAGATGCCAGTTTTAGCTACATTAAAAGAAGCATTCTTTTATTCAAATCAAGCTACCTGACCCTAGCCTCATATTCTAGACCCACCCAATGTATGTCATTCAACTTGAAAAAGAAAGGGAATTTTGCTGGGAACCCGTGGAGAATGCTGAGGCACACAAATCTGATAAAGAAGCAAGCTGGGAGGACAACCAGTAGGAGAAGCACCAGGGGAGGATGGATATATCTACTCTGGAGAGCAGAAGATTCAGGACGGTATATGGCCTCGGAAACAAGAAGTGCTGACAGAGTTTTGGGTGCCCCAGAAAACCAAACTGGAACCAGAGAGACATAGGCGAGGGAGTGGCAGAACCCGGGGGCAAAGGTAAAAGAGGCATCAGCCTAGAATCCCTACGTAGCCACAAGCAAATTAAGTCTAATCCCCCCTTGAATTCCATGGATCCAAACAGGAACTGACCCATTCATTGAGAATATTCCTGTGTACTGACATGATTAGCAATACATCAGTTTCATTGGACCTTCACTGATCTTTCCTGCCCGACATGGAAGAAGCAACTCAACAGAGCCTCAACTCAACTCAAAAGATGGCTGATGGGAAGGAGGAGCCAACGTCACGACGGCACATCGTGCGGACTCGACTGTCCGAGCCCGCCGATGACACTTTTGCCCTTGGACAGTCCAGCAGGACCTAAACCGTCCCGAAGAGATGGTGAGTGGGAAGAGAAAACCTTGCTGGTCGCAGGGACACTGCAAAGTCCCTGATCGACCCAAGGGTAGCGCTTCCAACCGGTGGCAAACAGGCAGCCCCCAGACTGACATAGTCAGAGACGGCTCCCGAAGGAAGAGAAGTGAAAGCATTCCATCTGATGAGGTTTTTTTTTTTCCTTTCTCAAGATTGCCCTAAGAAACCCTTTTTATTTTTATTTTATTTTTTAAAAATAATTAGTCCTTTAAGCAAGAATAATGCCGCGAATTCAATCCCTATTGGACTGCTTTAGAAAGTTTTTTGTTCCTGCTTGTAATGATGTTTTGTGGATTGAAGTGATTGTTTCCTGTTTCTCCGCTTGAAGTGTATGGACTGATCTTTTTTCCCTATTTTTTTTTCTACCTTAACTGTTTCTCTTGGTTCAAACTAACAAAAAAAATTCTTACTTTAACAAATTCTATTTGTTATAAAATCACACTAAAGATACTTAAGGAAAAAGCATAGGGAAAAAATAATTGAATCTGCCATTTGAAAGCCTGAGCCTGAAGTTTTCTCCTGCCTTGAAACAATGTATCCTTTGTTCTTTTCTATTTGACTTCACTGACTTTGCAACGGAAGGGTTTGGAACTTGTTTATAGAACCTGATAAAGACTCAAGGGCATGATCAATGTTTTGCTGGTGCTCTTGGAAAATATTTTGGTAAGAGAAGGAAAAGGAAAGAAAGAGACAAGAGCCCTTCTATTTTGAAATCCACAAAATAATTTGTGCTTAAGAATGAAAATAAATATAGATATATTCTTCAAAAAAAATTGACAGGCTAGAGTGGTAGACTCCTCTTTCTTTTTCTTTCTCTTTACATTCCTTTCCATTTAAAAAAAATGGATCAATATTC